GATATTAGGTTGTTCGGAAACTAATGTCCGATTTTAGAATAAATCTTTTCATTGGGTTTTAATATATTAGGTTGTTCGGAAAATAGTGTCTGATTTTAGACTAAGCTTTTTCATTGTCTTCTCACATATTGGTTTGTTTGATAAATAATGTCCGATTTTCGAATAAACGTTTTAATTGTATTCTAATATATTAGGTTGTCCGGAAAATAATCTCCGGTTTTAGAACAAACGTTTTCGGTGTGTTCTAATATATCAGGTTGTTCGGAAAATAATGTCCGATTTTATAAAAAATATTTTTATTTTCTTCTCATATATTAGGTTGTCCGGAAAATAATATACGATTTTATAATAAACATTTTTATTGTTTTATCATATATTAGGTTGTTTTATAAAATAATGTCCGATTTTTAGAATAAACATTTTTATTGTTTTATGATATATTAGGTTGTCCGGAAAATAATGTCTGGTTTTTAGAATAAACATTTTTATTGTTTTATCATATATTAGGTTGTCCGGAAAATAATGTCCGATTTTTAGAATAAACATTTTTATTGTTTTATCATATATTAGGTTGTTTGGAAAATAACATTTTTATTTTCTTCTCATATATTATTATAATAGTTGCACAAAAATATATTACACATTCCTAATGATTAAAGTGTCCTCTTTGTTAGTTTAATCTTAATTTTTTTCAGAATTTATCTTAAAACATTGTAAGCCCCTCATTTTGAACATTAAAAAAGAAGAGATGCGTTTAATTTTTACATGAGTTCAAGTTTGGTCAGAATGCTTCTCAAACTGCTACCAATAGAGTGTAGATTGAGAAATCAACTTTTGATTGGCCTGTACGGCGCTGGTTTCAGGAATTATGCAGTTGCTATATGAGTCTTGAAGATCAAGCTGATATAAGAAGTCCATCTACAATTGACAATGGCCATATGAAAACATTAGTTGAACCAAACCCACATTAAAGGGTATGAGAAATGTCTCAGGTAATGGGTGTCTGCATTTCAACAATTTCGGATCATCTCAAGAAAGTTAGCAAGGTGAAGAAACTTGATAACTGGGTTCCACATGAAATCAGTGAATGTCAATGAGTTCAATGTTTTTGAGGTGTGTTCGATGGTGCATCTGCGAAATTCTATTTTTTAATCGAATAATGATTTTTGATAAGTGCTATGGGACCTTACTCATAATAACATAATGGACTATTCCATACGTAATAAATACTGCGCCTCGAGGGGAAGCAGAGAGTTCCGTCTGAAGTCTGGAGTAAAGTCTGAAGTCTGGAGTGAAGTCCGTCAGGTGTCAGTAAGAGCGAGTCAGTCAGTCGAGTCAGAGGCAGTCCGAAACAGAGTCGCGTTCAGACAATTACTACTAAACCTGATTGTTCGTACTAACACTTTTCTACTTCTCTGTATATATTCCTGTTTGTAATATATCTGTGCTATTCAATATCCGCCTTCGAGTTCTTCTTTATCGGTTCTACCTTGGACTATCACCGTGGTACAAGGAACCGGACCATAACAATAAGGAATGAATCTATTGTGACAATCGTAAAAGGTCGCCTCAATGGCTTGATCATGACAAAGAATCGAAACACTTTCCGAAACTGAAATTGTACCAAAAAAACGTTATGCGAACTGTCTGTTCGTCCGTCATTGGCGTTATCCACAACAGTTTTCTAGAAACTAACCAGAGCAACACTGTTGAAGTTTACTACAATCAACTGGACGAAATGCACTTCCTGTTCAGCAAAATGCTACCGGCATTGTTTAATCAACGAGGTCTAATTCTGCTTCATGACAATGTTCAACCATATGTTACTAAAATAACATTGCAAAAGCTCACCGATTTGGGAAACGGGACTTTGATACAGTCACCATATTACCCTGATCTCTCGCCACCGAATACCACTTTCTCAAGTATCTTGAAAAAAATTAAGACAAATAACGTTCCGAAGACGATAGAGAAACTGCATTCAAAGATTTCCTTGCGTCCAAACCTTTAGAGTTTAATTGCAAAAATTTAAATAACCTTGTATCATGATGGCAGACATGTATAGATGTGCAGAGTTTCTATTTATTTTGTTTAAATATACTCATGAATAAAAGTTGATTCTAAAATTTGACATTATTTTTCGAACAACCTAATACCTATCTAGAGAGATAGATAAAAAGTTTTGTTAATTGACACAGATCCTACAGGTATAAACTGCTCGATCTTGGATTGGCTTTTATGTACCATATCTACTTCGAGATATATCAACTGACAGAACCAACCATAATCAATAAGAACATTATTCGAGGATTAATTCTAGACAGCTTAACTATTGCTTTAAAGAATGTTCTGGGTACTAGTAAAACTCCTGCAGTAATTATCGCCATCTCAGAAAGCCTTTTAGCCCGACTTTCAATAGCGTTAGAAAGCATTTACTACACTCCAGTACAATTTTTAGTTAAATATAAATAGCATGTCGGGGTAATATGTAAATATATACATACAATCATTTAATATCCTTTTTTATGTTTCCGTCACTTTTGTGACTAAATATTTCACATTTGGGATAATAGATATGCCAAGAAAGGTGACATATTGTAAGAATCTGGACGTAAATTTACTGTGGATGATCTGGCGATTAAAGCAATTTCTATAAATATTTGCTTTAGTAAGTTGCTTTCTCTTTTAATTAAAGTAGTATTTTTTTAAATCAAAATTATGGCCAGGTTCATTACGGCGAACAACTAATGCTCCGAGTGTGTTGTTTTGTAGAGATCCCTTCTGTGTTCATATAATCTTTTATTTAAATTCCTCGAGGTTTCGCCTATGTATTCTTTGTGGCAATTATTACAGGTGACAGATTAAATTCCTCTTTCAAGTTTTAGCTCATTATTATTTTGTAGTTTATATTTGAGCCAGTAAGCATTAACTTGGTTCAAGAATAAGTAAATATTTGTTATTTCTCAATGACTTAATTTTAGTGAACTAACGCCAAGCACGTTTGAACAGAATTTTACATACTACCATGTGCAAGTATGGTTCAATCTCCAGTATTAGAGATCGCACGCCGTAGAAATGCTTGCTTATTAATTAAATCTCTTTTATGGCTTCCGGGTTTTATACCTTTATAGCAGCCGAAAGGCACCGCTGTCGGGATTACTATTAAGACTTCGACAGCTGGATGTTGGATATTGTCAGTGGCAGAATCTATCAGCCCAGATGTCTTGCATTAAACTGTAATAATTGTCATTCAAAAAGATTCGCCATACTGGATGATGGATGAGACCTTTCGAGCCAGATGAAAACTACGGATGCACACAGAGTAGCACCGTGTGTCTCCCAATATATGTGTCACTAAAACCTCTATGATGACATGTGGGCGTCTTGGCAGAAGATCGTCCTGGGAATGACGATAAACTACATCCTGTAGCAAGGCCTCTGATCGGGAGATTTTGATCTGTTTTTCTTTTCCAGGTCCACCCTGACTCGCGGTGGTAGCACCTGTTAGGGTCCTAACTATTTTATAAATAGTGAACCTCCAAACTGGAATCAAAACATGAAAATCTAAAAATAGATTAGAATAGACTACCAGCAATTGAACAGAGAGATGACCTCTAGGTTAACAAATTTAGATCTGCACCTCACATGATTTCAGTGGCTTCTGAGTATGTTTATATATCTGACTATCACCTTGTTTTCCCCATACGGGTACTTTTCAATCTCAGTTGGGTTGAACACGGATAGACTAGTCGGGGTCATCTAATGATATACTGTGAGGCGCAGATCTGCACTTGGTGACCAGTAGGTCTTCCCCTAATTCAAGCTGTCAATACACCTGGCCTCTCTAATCATATTTAAGAAAAGAACGTCTCAATGCTAATATCTGCTGACTTTATTTTCTTTCGTAAGCGGAGTAATTTGTAAGGCAATAATGGACCTTATTTATAATGCGGTATTATTTTTTTTTTTATTACTTCAAACTTTGTTTATAGTGTTTGAGTAGGCCTCTCTCTTTTTAAACAATTTGTGTAGCAAAAAACGAAAAAACAAAGAAAAAATTACCAGCAAAACATTTGGGGGGGGAAAATACCAAACTAACAAGAAAATAAATTTTCAGCATTAAATGACCCATAAAGAGTCGATATGCCGTTAAACAAACAAACCAAACCAAACCTGATAGAAGACATAGTTAGTAATCGTATTTGAAAGGAATAGCCTTATGCAAAACATCGAAGGGTTTAAGGTACCAGAAATTAATATAAAAGAAATGAGAATCAACAACGAAGATGAAATTAAATGAACACTTATATTCATATTACTACCACGGGTGGTCTGGTGTCCGTATTATTTACAATGAGCTCCTTTATAAGATCCAAAAAAGAATCAGCAATATTATTGGTCCTGATCTGGCGGCTCAGTTTCAACCACTTTCCCACCTCCCTAAAATTGCCTCTCTGTGTCATTTCTATAAATACTTTCATGGTAATTATTCGGATATGCTCTTCGCTATGGTAGCTAGACGTTTTTTAATTTAAACGCAGTACTCGACTGGCGTCGAGATCTCATCAATTTACAGTTGAGCTAGCTAGATGTAGTCGTAAGTTCTATACTAACAGTTTCTTTTCTCGCACTTTACGCTTGTGGAACTTCCTTCCGGATCCAGGCTTTCCAACCAACTTTAATTTGCAAAAAATTAAAGTCAATCGCTATTTACTGTCCTCATGATTACTCTTTCCTGTTCCCGTTCATTCTTAATGTTGCTGTTCCTAATTCTTCCACACCTTGTAACCCCTTGTGCTTTAGTGGCTTTACTGCCTTGCATGGGGTGAAACCGATAAAAAAAAACACACTGAAAAGGCATAGAAACAAGAGAAAATCTGAACAGGGTGAAAGATAACTGCAAATTAATGAATTCAAATCATAATTAATATATTTTTCTATTTCTTTTTTCTATAAACACATAGATCCGTCTGAATCCGGAGGCGAACCTGAAGAAGAAGGTATTTCAATATTTTTATCTTAAAAATATTTTAATTTTTATCTTACCTGTTTTTTTATTAATTTATCTTAATTTTTATTTTTATCTTATCTTTTTTTATTAATTTATCTTAATTTTTTATTTTTATCTTATCTTTTTTTATTCATTTATCTTAATTTTTTTATTTTTACCTTATCTTTTTTATAAATTTATCTTAATTTTTTTATTTTTATCTTATCTTTTTTTTATTAATTTATCTCAATTTTTTTATTTGTATCTTATCTTTCTGTCTTGCACTTTTGATTCAACGCTTTTTTTCTTATTATAAAGGTTGTCTCATAAAAAAAAAATGATATTTTGGAGTAGGAATTACCATATATCAGCTTATTGTCAGTCTTTCTTTATTTCCCACCAGAAGCTTTTAGAGCAATGACGCTTCGTTTATTTCCTTTTTGAGTCATCCATCAAAATCCGCTAAAAGCGACAAATATTTACATTCCCTATGTGTCTAAAATTCACATTGAAATCGTTAGATAAATCTGAGAAAGCCAAACATGTAATTGTCATTTCATCTAGATTCCATAAAGAGGAATATTTACACTTCTTTCGGTACGAACCATACAACTACAAACGTTTTCTGATGAGACACCCTTTATAGATGCAGCTTCACAATCTTTTATCCAATATTCTTGGGACTGGACACGAATTTAAACAATGACACTTATCTTGTGACACTTGCTTTGTTCTATAGATACTCTGGAACACATTTATGTGTTACACTTATCAGCCTAATATACACCCTTGTGCAAATTATTTGAAACGGCTACTTTAGTTTCCTTTCTTCATCATACGATCATTATGTTAAATCCATTGGAGTGACAGGGTGTAATCGATTTCTATTTTTTCTCAAATTAGGTCATTTGAAGTGGTGTGCCGTAATATGAATCTTTTTTCAGGGTGCATGATGAAATTATTTGGCCTGGGAAAATATTGCATCAGATTTTTATCACGCCCAGACACTATTGTTCCGACTGTCGATTAGTTGTCCTACGGCCACTGTTTGCGATTGACGTTACTGCAAAGAAATTTACGAAAATTGTAACGTTGCACACACTAGCTAGCTTTACCAGTGTGTAAATCAAAGTACAATAGACTGGTCCGTAAACTCTTCTGATTTAAATCCAATCGAGAATCTGTGGTCAACCAGCAAGGAACAGATTCGTGGAATGGACACACGAAGTACTAACATGTGCACTGGGTTACATTTCCTTGGAAAAATACGAAAAAAATAAATGGTAACAGAATTATTTGTTTTCTTTCAATTAATTTGCACAAGAGTGTACATTGGAACACATAAAAAGCGTTTCTTTGTCTAGATTGATTTGGGGTCTTTCACGCAGAGTTTCGTCTCGGGAAACTGACTCCGTTTTTACGTGGTCTATAGGGAATTTTTGCCCGAGCCTACGGGCTCAGATACTCCACTTTAAAACTTGGCATAATGCCACATCTTGCTGCGTGGGGCAGTGGGTAATTAATTATATCTAAAGTATTTCATTGTATAAATAGGTTCCTTTACTTTTCAGAAATGTATTTATCAAAATTAAGATCCTTTACACTAGTTAGATTCATCTCAATTCAAAATTAAATAATCAATGTACTACTCCACTCTTTTCTCTTACGTCATATATACATTTAAATTATTTGTTGAAGCTGAAATGTTCATATATATATATATATATATATATATATATATATGTGTGTGTGTGTGTGTGTGTGTGTGTGTGTCTGTGTGTGTCTGTGTGTATGTGTGTGTGTGCATCTATGTAGAAAAATAGGAAAGAACACGTTAGGTAAATAATCCAGGGTTTTTTAGTATATTTTGTTTTTATTATTAAAAAAAAACAGTGCTCCATACAGAAGTAGAGCTTAGATTATAAATATTTTTTTAAAAATATGATTCCTTCGCTACATAAGAGTTCTCATGTTTCCAAAATGAGAGCCGAAACAATCAATATAATTATTAAAATTAAATTGAATTAAAGTAACAAGCCCTGTTTCATCCTCAAGCGAAAATTTAGGAATAACCAATTTTGAAATTTTATATCGTTATAAGCGTGTTCATTCGTTACTATGGAAATTTACATATTGCGACCATTTTTATCCAATATCAGTCATATAAATCATATAAAGGTCAAAAATGAATTATTTTAATTCATACTCTACAAAGCGAATTATAGTCTTTCTTTGTAAATGATTTCGAAATCTTTTATTCACAGAAAAAGATAGATTTTGGCACATAGTATGATGTTAATAAATCTAGATAATTTTGTTTATTTTATTTGTTTATTTATTATATTTTATTTTTATTTATTTATTTTTTTTTTTTTTTTATTTTTTATTTATTTTTTTTTTTTTTTTTTATAATTTATATTTTTTTTATTCCAAAATTTTCCTTGAGGATGAAACATTAATTTACTTTAATTCAATTTAATTTTAATTTATTGTATTAATAGTTTCGGCCTCGTATTTAAATTGAAGGAATCATATTTTTTTATAAATATAATATATATATATAATATATATATATATACAAATTTAAAAATAAATTTACAAACTTTTTTGTTGGTTTTGACATTAAACAAGATAAGATAAATTATATTTTAAATTCATATATCGTAAAAAGCCATCGTTTAACTCAAATAGAAACTCATTCATAAACGTTCAAAATGTCCTTTGTTTTTTCACACGCATGTTTTAATTTTATTTATCATTGACTGGCAACTCTTTCAAATACTTCCACATATTTTTCGAATGGTTTCGCATAACCCCATGACACATTGAATGCAGTATCTCTGCATGATTAAATATCAAAAGCAAAAAACCAATTCTTTTAGGTTTCACCCAAAAAAAAAAATCAAAAAAATTGACGTCGGGGGAACAAAAGGCCATGTTAACGTTTCTTCTCTACCTATCCATTCTTTCTTGGTAAATTTAAGCCATACATTAAACAAAATACAATAAAAAATGTGCTGGAACCTCATTATCTATTGAACCAATTGATTTTTTAAATTATATATTTCTCCTCTATTAAAAATTAATTGTTTGAAAAAAAAACCTGTTATTTCAAAAAAAAACAAATATTTATGGGAGATATTTGCCATATTATTAAATAAAATACATCAATATTCCAACCGAATATTAATCGTAAAAATATATGAATTTTTTTTCTATATTGTATGAATTTGATTCTATCCGGATACAATTGTTGGTTATGTAAATTTGTTATTTTTTCTCTTCCATATTAATATTTGCCTCATCCGTCGGCAAAAGTTCTCCTGTGGTGATGATCAGAGTTTATTCAAACACTGCATTTTTAGCTAAAATTGAAACAGGAATTTGCTTTTTTAATATCCTCCCAGGTTAAAAATTTTGGATAATAACGAGTCACCGTAAAAAATATAATAAGAAAAAACGAAATTAGAAAAAACCCAAATTTTTTCGATCAATTTTCTAAGATTAAATTCATAAAATTAAAAAAATGAAACTTAATTAAAAAATATGAAACCTGCATTTATTAAATGTGATGGTGATTTTTTTCAAAAAAAATGAGGGCGGATTTTTTTGGAATTAAATTTTAAATTTATTCCTTTTGATTATGGAATTTTTTGCAAAACCAGTGTTTTTACCAAAAACTCTGATTGGAATTTGAAATTAAATAAAATTTTTTTTAAAATAAAATCTTTTGAATTGAAAATTTTGTATGAATATATTTTATAATTAAATGCCTATATATATTATATATATATATATAATATATATATATATATATATATATATATATATATATATTTATTTATAACAAAAATTTTAACAGGTTTCGATCATCAGATTAACTCTGATAGGATTTGAATAAAAAAAATAAAATTTAATATTTTAAAAACATAAAACTTTTTTTTTTAACAATGTTTTTTTTTTTGATCAATAAATTTTTTTAATTAAAATTTTCTATTTTTTCTTTTAAATTATAAAAAAAATCCACAGGGAACCGTTTCTCATTTTCTCTTTATCCATATATATATATATATATATATATATATATATATATATATAAAATGTGTGTGTGTGTGTGTGTGTGTGTTGTATGTATGTATGTATGTGTGTGTGTTTAAAAAATAAAACAAAGAAAGAGGAAAAAAGAACAGCTTTTATTTTATGCAAAAAAATCAGAAATATATATTCCTCATTTTATATTATCATTATATGGAATTTCAATGCCATTCTTTTTCTCTTTTTTTTAGAGAAAAATTTTGATTTTATTTATATATATATATATATATATATATATATATATATATATATATATATATATATATTTTTTTAATTTTTTGTTTTTTCATGTAAAACCTTTTGTTGTTTTTTAAACAATTTTTCCATGCAGTTGTGTCTTTTTACTTTTTTTATTTTTAAAATTTTTTTTTTTTTTTTCCAATAACTTCTGTTTTGATAATCACTTTGACCGATAAAAAACGAAACAAATAATTCGAACCATGCCTTCGCTTGAAATTCTGATGTTGTTCTTTTGGCCAATACATTTTTTTAATTCTTTCATCTCTGCTGTTCGCCGCCATATTGCATGCCAACAAAGGAATCGTCGTCTTATTTTCTCTTCAGCCAATCATGTTTATTTGCCTAAATTTAACAATTGTATGTAAATACTTTTATCTTTCATTAAATTTGATGCGCATGATTGTGTTTTTACTATCTGTTTATCTATCTATTTATCTATCTGTCTGACTTTCTATTCTTGGGTCTCAAAATCGTGTTTTAAGTCTTTTATGGAAAAATTTTCTTTTTCTGCAGATTTCAATTCCTACAGACACGTTGTAAGCTATTGTCTCCTCTATCACTACCTACATGGCAAATATTCAGATAAACTCTATTCACTTATTCCAAAGGATTCAAATCTTTATTGTTTTTTAATACCATACTGCTTCAACAAAGATAAATGTCAAATTTTCTAAG